TTGTTGTCAATGACTCAAATCAACTTCGGACGAGTTTCCCATGAAAATCTTGCAAATAACAGCTACCGAAGATATGGTTGCATGTATGTACTCATATATCCATGCAGCACCACCGCCGCTTCATACGCTTCAAAATTTGCTTAGCAAATGGATACGAGCGTCAGGAACGGTTGTCCATTTGCGGGTAGGCGGACGTGATGGGAGTTCGGGTCGGTATGTTGTAGCTTGATAGGAGCTTTATAAAGATACCTTCCTAGGAAAAGGCGCTACGCAGTGCCTGCTCACGAGGCGCGAATTCCGTCCCGCCAGGCATATTAACACATTGACGTCCGCGTGATACGGCATTGAATGCCGCTTAGTTAGTCCCGGGACCGCGGCACATAGAATAGTCACGATCAAGAAGATCCATAATCTTCACTAGTGGCATGATTTTTGCTTTTAGTGTCTCCTATTCATTCATAGTTTTACTCCTGAGTATACTTGCTACAACGCGGAGTCATGCCGAATAATTAGTACACACAAGTTTAGCAAAGACTTGTTAGGAAAGAGACACCATCTGCCTTGGACTGTTTTGCTCCTCAACTCTGGATAGGGTTTGCTCTCAAACACTTTGCAAACAAGATGCAGATAATACCATATTGAGAATGAAAAAAAATATAAGATGAAGACTCTGAGTCCAGCAGAAGGCTTCTTCTCCTTCTTCTTCTTCTCCCTAGCGTTAGTCCCGCGCCGTCGCAGGGTCCGCTGTTCGTGTTAGACGTCGCCACTTGTTCCGATCCACTGCATCTTCTGCCGTGGCTTTCACTTCAGTGAGTCCTTCTTGATGACGTCCCTCCATCTTTTCTTTGGGGCTCCTCGTGGTCGCTTGCCCTCTGCTTCGAATTCCAATGCCTTCCTTATTGGGTGGTCCTCAGGCCTTCTCAGTACGTGCCCATACCATCGCAGTCGCTGCTCTCGTGCCTTCAGCTGGATCGGAGCCGTCTGTGTGATCGCCCTGACGTCCCTGTTTCTGACTCTGTCGAGTCGTGTCCAAGCGCAGGCCCATGCATCCTCATTTCAGCTGATTGGAGCTGCCTTCCATGGCTCTTGCAGATGAGCCAGCACTCCCTACCGTAGAGCATTGTAGGCCTTAACACCGCCCGGTACACCTTGCCCTTGAGCGCTCTCAAGCACCGCCGGTCACACAGGATGCCAGTGGACACCCACCATTTCATCCAGGCTGCGTTGATTCGGATTTTCACCGCCTGGTCCACGCTGCCATCAGCTGCTAGGTTGCTCCCCAGATACTGGAAGTCCTCAACCCTTTCGATGCTCTCGCCATGGCGGTCTACTATGAGTTCGGTGCACTCTTCGGAGCTTAGGAATTTGGTCTTCTTCACGTTCAACCGGAGTCCATTCTCAGCAAGCAAATCCTGCTACCGCTGCACCTTGTCCTGGAAATCCTCCTTGCTGTCCATCAGAGAGATATCGTCAGCGTAGAGGATGGTTTTCAGTGGTCCCTCCATGAGTTCTTTTGCCATGGCACCTAGAGTCAGGAGGAAGAGGAACGGGCTGAAGGCGATCCTTGGTGTACCCCAACCGTGATGCTTACTTCCTTCGTCAAGCCGTGCGGGGTGCGTACAGTTGCTTTAGCCCCATGTACACATCCTTCACTATGGAGACGAGGTGTTCCAGAACGTTACGTTCTCTGGGCGCCTTCCAGAGAACAGGCCGAGGCAGGCGGTCGAATGCTTGTCAACTTCTAGGAAGGCTGGGTAGCAGGGTCTCGCTCCTCTCGGTACTTCTCCATCAGCTGTCTTGCGATGAGGATGGCTCAGTGGTGGACCTTTCGGGCAATAAGCCGAACTGTTCCTGCGAGATAGGGACAAGCTCCTTCAGCCTAGTGTTGACCAGGCGCTCGTACAGCTTCATGGTATGGGGAGTCAACTTGATGCCGCGGTAGTTGGAGCGCTCCGTCGCGTCCCCTTTTTATTTGAAGATTGGGACGAATGTGCTGCTCCTCCACGCATCTGGCATCCTTCCTTCAGCTGTTACGTTGTTTAGGAAGTCTGTTAGCCAACTCACTCCAAGCTCTCCCAGGGTCTTCCATGCCTCTATCGGTACCCTGTCTGGACCCACTGCTTTCCCAACTTTCATTCTCCCTAGCTCCGGGCGGACTTCATCCTTCGTCCAGGGCGTGATGGGACCTGCCGTCGTCTCTATCTGTGGGTCATCCCTGCGGGGGAATTCTTCGTTCAGGAGTCCCTCGAAGTATTCCTCCCACCTCTTCTTGACTTCGGCCGGTATCCTGAAAATGGTCCCGTTGCTGCTCTTCACAGTCTTTACTTCCTGAGCAGCGCGATGCCGAGCTTTAGCCAGGCAGAAGACGAACTTGTCCCCTTCTCGGCCTTTTAGCTTCTCGTACAGTGCGCCCATTTCCGTATTCTTGGCCTTAGCAACGGCTGCCTTGGCAAGTCGCTTGCAGCTCTTGTAGGCAGCGTAGTCTTCTAGGCTCCGTGTCTTTTGCCAACATTTGTATGCTTCCTTCTTCTGCTTGACGACCCTCTGGACTTCCTCGTTCCAGAACCAGGCTGCCTTGTCTCCTCTGATACCACCTCGCTTTTCTCCCAGGACTTCCTTGGCACACTGCAGGATGACCTCTGCTGCGTAGGTACAGGTGTCCTGGACTGGCTCGTGTGGGTCTGGGAGCCCAGCCTCCAGTATTCTTCGGCCGAAGCTATCCTTTTCTACCTTGCGCATTTTCCAAAACCGAATTCTTCGCTCTGCTCTCACCCTTATCTTCTTGGGGAGGTCTACGGCGATGTCTGCCACGAGAGGCCTGTGTTGAGAGCCCAGCTCTTCCCCAGGCAGCACCTTGATATCCTTGACGGTTTTGAGAGACGATCTTCTGACCAGGACATGGTCGATTTCCGTTTGTCTCCCTCCACTGCTGTAGGTTATCTTCTGAGTCCTATTTTTTCGCGAAGAAGGTGCTACAGATTGCTAAGTCGTGAGCTGTGGCTAGGTCAAGGACCCATTCTCCCTCAGCGTTCTTTGCCCCTATTCGCCTCCGCGCACCGTTTCTGGACCCCTTCTGTCATTTCCCACATGGTCATTCAGATCCCCAGCTATGGTGAGGTAGTCATCTTTTGGAACCGATCTTATAGCCTCGTCCAGGGTCAGGGAGAACTCATCCTTTTCCGCCTCGGAGCAACCGGATTGTGGTGCGTACACGGTTAGTACTGTCCAGTACCCCTCCTTCGTGTCCATTCTCACTCCCTGATCCGGTCACTGATCCTGTTCACAGTAGAGACGCAGTCCTTGAGGGATTCTGATACCGCTATGGCCACGCCATTCCGATTGGTGTCTGCTCCACTGTAGAAGAATTTGCCGCCATTCCAGTCTTGCGGGCCTTCGCACCCTTCCATCGCGTTTCCTGAAGGCATAGGACTTGGATATTCCTTCGTCTCATGAGGTCGGCAACCTCACGAGTCTTCCCGGTAAACGACCCCACGTTCAGGATCCCAATTCGAACTAATTTCTTTGGCCGAGGTCATTCACCCCTCGGTAGCCCTCGCATATTGACCACAGAGCTCGGGCGAGGGTTCTGCGCGCCACTTCCGGGTGACGTCCTAGCATTACACTAATTCTATTGCGACTTTTCATGATTGTTGTGACGGGTTCTTCCATCAGCCGGCCTGCCAACCTGGGCCTGACGCTGGTATCGTCCCCATTTTTGCAAGTTTTGCAAGGCAGGTTTGTGCCTCAGCAGGGATTGAACTCGTGGCTCAGGGTGTGAACGTGAGTCTACACTCTTAATCACTCGGCTATCGCTGCCTTTGCAGAAGGCACTTCTGTTTTTTATGAAAACACTGGTTACAGACAAATTCATAGCACCTGGTGCAACGAGAGTTGACCAGCCTAATTTTTTCCATAGTGAACGATTGACTCACTTCATAATTACTCTCTCAACCACGTTTTCCGACCCAATCTCCAAAAACAGCCCCTCGTGGGACCGCGTGAATTGTACGAGTGCCGCTCTTGCGGCGTTCGAGAAAGCGCGCGTGTCCCACGAGGCTGAAAAAGTTAAAACCCGCGCGGTCTTCAACGTGTTAATTCTACTCGTTTTTAAGGACTTATCGTGTCAACCGCCTTTAAGAGAGTAACGGCAAACGCGCCCCAACCTGATTAAAGGTCGCAGGCCCTGTTCAAAACTTGCGCGCGCGGGGAAGTAAATTAAGCTCGCAGCAGTGGCAGATAGATGCCGCATTCGGCTGCCACTGAAACACTTCTCCCATGCGCCTTCAAATTCGAACACAATAGCTAGTGTTGGGGAACAGTACCTCAACACTAGCTATTGTGTTGAGGTACTGTTCCCCAACCTGTCCTATGAATCTACGGAGTGCGAAATGTTTCGTGTCATCGTTAGTTTTTTTAGTTAGTGGGTGTTCACTGCTGGAAGGCTGCCAAGTCCGTAAGGACAACTGGCAGCTTTTCAGCACGAATTAGACCTGCTCGTTTCAGGCAAAGCAAGACCAGCAGAGTAATATTCCGCCGCCTCTTTATAACTAATCATGCTTCGGTCATCCAACGCTAATACCATCTAACAACGAAGAAAAACCGAAAAACGTAGTGTAGGAATTGAGCTAGTGACGGAAAGTAGCCTTTGAGCTTTGATGGGCAGGACAACTACAGAGGCGTCAGGATTGCCATTTGCGGGGCCTACAGTGCTTACCTCGTTGCTTACTGTGAAGCCACGAAGAGTTCTTATGGTTAGAGACTGAGGACTGAACTACTTATATAGGGAAGAACTCCTATGGACTCCTTGCAGGGTCTGCTTGAGTGCGGGGACATCCCTAAGTATAATACTAACGATCGATAAGACCTGTTTTTGAAGTAATCAGCACAAATTGTAAAGTCTAAATGAGCTCATATAATGCAACAGAAAAGTTCAAAATGAGGTTCTCACATAAGTTCGATCTCCTTGTTCGATGGACTGGGACTGCTGAAAAGGTTCACTTTCAACAATGCCTCTCATGAAAGATACTGCAGCTCCTGAATCTATGAGCCATGATGGTGACTGGTGTCTTGCTCACCCCTTCGAGCCTTTCGATTTCAGTTCCTATGAGAACGATTTCGTTTTGACTGGGATCGAACCTGATTTTTTTGATGCTTACAGACTTGTCCTGGTCAAGACCATGCTTCTAAAATCATCACGGTATCCTATATATAAAAAGCGGTTCTTCTATACAAACCACGCACGATTTCTCCTTTCAACGCGGCTTGCAACACTAATGGACCTCTCGTCTTGAATTCCTTCGGGTTCAACTTCGCTGCACGCATTTGACGCGGTCTTTTCTGCTAAAAAAAGTGGCGTTCAAGGCAAGGTAACTGACGGTGAGACAAAAAACAGAAGCATTAATAGGGTAAGCACAAAGAGTGTTGCATATTTAGAATGTTATCTTTGGCGTGCGAAGGCGTGAGTTGTACTCTCCTGAACGCTTAACAGCCCGAAATGGTAGGCTGCGTTTATACTTTGTGTCAGCTACGCCAGCGAGCGCTGGCCGAAGCTAGGTCCATATCTACAGGGGGCCAAAAAAAGACTTTTTTCTTCCTTGACATCCGAGGCGTTGTAAGTTACATTTTATTGAATTCTTATCGGATATTTGCACCACCATGTTAAAGAGCATATCAAATACTATTATGATACTCCGCCACAGCCTTCTGGAGGAGCGCCATCGAGAGATTCCGCCACGCGACGTGAGCGGGTGCCTGAGATGAGCGAGGTAGTCGATTTTTCCGCCACCGTAGACCACATTGAACTCCGCCCGAACCAGGTGATTGAGGGGGTTTGGGTCAGATGACCTGCTTGAATATTCCACCTTCCTCAGGTACTCAACGCCCCTCCATTCCAAGTAGGCGAGTGTTTCTCCAACGCCCTTCGATTTCATGAGGTGGCACTTAATGCTGCAGCAGTACAAGGTTTCCAAGAAGGTACGGGCAACGACATGTGGGGTGGATATTCTTCTCAAGTTGCTCGATGTAACCGCCAGTGCTCACCTTCAGTCCGCTGCCCGCGAAGAAAATATTGGTCTCTCCATTCCAGGTACGTCCGGTCCCTACCATCAACTGGCGCCTTGGCGACTGGGGTGAAGATGATGTCCTGGACCGTAGCGACATTGACGAAGCTGCTCGATGATGGAGGTCTTCCAGATCGAGAGATTCCGCAGGTAGCTATCGATGGGTGACTCCATACTAGAAGTTTCGCAGCTGTTTGGAGGTGACATGAGTTCCGAAGGTCTTCTCCAGTCAGGTTGCGGCTGGAGATGACCTCATATTTTAGTGTACATGAAGGCGATGTTCGAGCGCCAGCTCCTGCTTATAGAGGAACATTTTGGGTATCCTCCGCCCTGGTACTCGTATCCACGTTCTCTGTCTGGACTGCGAAAACTTTGCTGATATGTGACCCGGTCGAAATGCCTTTTTTTTTGCCCCCCCCCCCTGTATACACTGCGTACCAAAAGTATAGTTCCACCCATAAATCTCGCAATATATGGCCCTACACGACGTTTCCAAAAAAGCCTTTAGATAAAAAATGTAGTAGTTACCAGTGCCAATTCGCATGCCAACACCGAGAACTGACTATCTAGAGCGACTTCAATTTTCTCTTTATTTTTTGAAAATTTCTCACTTTGACAATGTCCCAAAATATAGTTCCACTAAACAAATCGATTCATTAAATAACAAGTGTACCACAAAATGAATGAATTTAAGGCTATAGTCTATTGCAGCCCCATTCCTTTGAATAAGTTGAAAAATGCGTTTGTCCATGCTCGAATAGAGGTTTTAAAACAGTTTTCGGTTGACATGCTGCCATGCATCAATTATTGACTTCTTGAGCTCACTAAACTTGTGGAATTGCGCATTGTTCTCATAGATCTTGCGTACATGAAGCCCCACATATTCGCGATTGGGTTTGAGTCAGGGCTATTCGCTGGCCAGGGCGAAAGAGCGATTTGATGACGACTGAATCACGCTCGAGTGTTTCGGCTGACAAATTGGTGCATTTTCTTGCATGAAAACAGGAATTTCTTGCTGATTTCTACACCAGAAAAGAAAGAAACGTCGTTGCATGTTTTTTGGTAGACGGAAGAAATCATTTTTTTTCCATACGGAACACAGTTTCAGACGTTTCATTGATGCGATGGCACCCCAGACCATGAGATCACATCCACTGAAGTTCCACCCGGAGAAATGAAACTTGTCTTGCCTCAGGTCGTGCCAGCGTAATCAGTTTCGCCTTAGTTCCGCCTGAGCGGTTGCAGTTGACTTTTTTCTCATCAGTGAACACGACCGCGAGAAAAAAAAACCCAAAATAGCAACACGGACAAACAGCAGGGCACCGCATCCAAAAGCTACCCTCACTCCAATCGGTTCGGCAACATCTTCGAGCGAAGCCAATCAAGTTTTCGCGATGGTTTTTATTTAAAAACAGTGATCAACTCATATCCTCCTGTAGGTGAACACAGGAGTTTTTCAAAACACGCCGAACAGTCTCCTTCGAGACGTTGAGCCTCGAAGTTGACTTTATTTTCAGGCACGACGTTGTGGAATTCGATGCTTCTCTCGAAGTACGGCGCTTTTCTCGATCAGAGAGCAAAGAAGGACGCCCAGAGCTCTTTTTGATTCCATATCGTGCGGGTTCCCTGACAAAGTTATTGATAACGTGATGACTGCGGCCCAACTCCCATACGATTTGACGCTTCGACAATCCTTGAGCCTTCTTTACGATAACCCATTTTCCAAAGTCTGAAAAAGAGTGTCCTGTCATCATACCCCGGAAAAGGAGAAAAGTAATGATGATGAGACAGTTTTACCCGAAAAAAATGAGACGTTGTGGGAAAATATGCGGTGGGACTATATTTTGGGACATTGACAAAAAGAGAAATTTTCAAAAAATGAAGAAAATTGAAGTTACTCTGGAAAGTTAGTTCTCGATGTTGGCATGCAAACTGGCACTGGTAATTAGCAGATTTTCTATCTAAAGGCTTTTCTGGAAACGTCGTGTAGGGCGGGATATTGTGAGATTTATGGGTGGAATTATCCTTTTGGTACGCAGTGTACTTTCCTAATCGCTCGAAACGCGTCCGCAGGCCTACGCTGACACACGCTGAAGCGATACGTTCCTAGTCGTTAGCGCCGGCGTACCTCGAAACGCTGCTGCACGCTGGAGTACCCGGCCTTGAAGTATGAGCGAGCCGCACTAATGAGCACCACCGCGCCGATCGGGGAGTTTCACTGAAAAAAAGAGTAGGCTCGCGCCACTCAAAGGCAATGGTCACGATGATTTTGTTCTCTGCAAAAGGGAGTAATGGAGCAGAAGGTTACGCATTCACACCCGCTCCTCTCTGGAGTACTTGTGGCGCAGCGAAGTGCCCATCGGAAGTGCTTTTGCGCTGAGCGATTGCGAATTTGTGTCTTGTGTCAAAATACCCGTGGAGACAGATCTCCAATCTGTGATTATGACTTAACTTCGGATAGGTGACTAGTCAATGGTGCTAATATAGCCCAGTTCAGCAATCAAAGGCCAACTCGAACAAACCTAGTCTTGCGACTTTATAACCACCAAGTCGCGCTTCTGAGAGGGAAACTTTATCTAGCTCACGTGTCCTGATCAGGATTTCAATGCACTTCAATGCATTTCAATGCCTAAGCATCAGGATCTTCGCAGCTGTGTACAGTTTCTCTTCAGGAGCTGGCGGTTTGAGTGACCATACTTCTGGTTTCTGCAACTGTCCGTTTGTGCCCGGCACAGTCCACACTTGCATAAGACTCATCCAAGTGGAGCTGCTCTGCTTAGTTCTTTCCTGTGGACCAGCACTTGCTGCTTCACAGCACGGTATTCATAGACCACACCAGTGCGTCGTGCCTTTGACGGTTCTAGGGCACTCGGTCACAAAGACCATTTCGCCAGGCTCTTACGCTTTTTCCGTTCTACCATAAGCGGCAGGTCTGAGCCTAGGTAAAAGAGTTCCTCCACTCCATGCGAAACGAAATGTGCAAGGTTGACCACCATTCTCTCAAGAACCTATGAATTTTCGCAACAGTTTAGAAACAATAACACTTATTGAGTGGTGAATGAGGTTCACCTTGATGGCCTTTTTCTCCTTGTCTTTCTTCTGTTCCAGTTTCTTTTCCATGAGCAAGCCTTAATCAAAATTGCAGTGCCTTGCTTACATTTCATTCTTACAGATGTGGTACATACGTTGGCGTCTTCTTGAAGCTTTCGCTTTTGTATGATCATAATAGACGTACGCAAGTACAGAAGCCACCAGAACAGCTGCCACTATCCAAAGTAGGATGACCCTTACACAAATAAATCTTTATTTATGGGTTTCGAACGTGTGAATCCTGCACTAACAACAAGATCGCCAGATTCCGATCTCTTGCAAATGTATAACAGTTTGTACTTATGTATTTATTTGATACATGTATTAGGTTTGCGGGAGAGTTCTTGCCAGTTTTTGAGCACCTAATGGATGCCATCGCTTTACGATGCAGTCCGGCGCGACGCAAAGTTGAACATCATCTCAATTTCGGCTTGAATTGGGTCGTGCAGGTTTTTTCGTCTATGTAGCGGTTTAGTACTAGAGGCAACTAGCAGTTAAGAGGAGCAATGAATGGGCTACACCGGTGCAAGGCAGAGCCATACAGACCTATGGCACGAAGTTCGGGTGGACTTCGTTTGTGCGGAGTGTGCTGCGTTATCATGTTGAAGACGGACTGTGACAAATTCTTCTCTCTGGCAGACGGTTAGCTTTAGATCTCGTAGATGCTTTGGCCGAAGCAGCTTCTTCATCCAGCAGTTTCTCGACTCGCGCTCTCTCGATCTGAGTTCGCAGGTAACCCAAACCTCACTTTATCATCAAAACTGTAGGCTCCCGCTTAGAAGCATTAGCGTCGTGGAGGGTTGCCCGATGATTGATGACATCGTACATGCAACTCCATTATTTTTGGCATCGGCAACTGTTATGCTGGCCTCAGGGGTGTAAAAGAAAGAGTCTGAGGAAGCGCTTGGAGGGGTCGGTGCCGATGGTAGCGAATAACATTCTTGTCCATATTACAGAAGAAGAAGAAGAAGAAGCAGGAATCAAGCGAGTGTTTTAATAGAAAGATCATTCATTGATGTGTAACTGCTCGCATTACCAGTTGGGCCCCTCTTCAGGTAATGGGCAAGAATTTTGAGTTCAAAACTATGACAGAACTTCCCCGCCAACCTGATATATTTGTCATCATAGCACACGGTAGTACACTGATCTATAGTACCTCCGAACTATCAGGTGCAAAACACTGCAATCCTAATTGACATAGTACTCCGTATAATCCCCCACAGATCCTATCCGCAGCCTCAACGTGGCGTGGGGGTGAACAGTTTGGACTGTTCCAACACCATACCAATGCGGAGGGTGCCACGTCAGAGTCTGGCCAGCTACGCGCGGTTAAATTTCTTCTCGCCGAAAACAGTAATAATTATGGGCCTCATTCCCCTGAACATGAGGGAACCACCGACAGGGCGACGTCCGCTGGGACCGCTCGGGCGAGGCTGCAAGAATCACAGGGTCAACGAAGATTTGAGTCGCCTAGAACAAGGATGACGTTCTGTACTTTCAACTCACGGACGCTTGCATCGGAAGCTCACCTTAAAGATCTGATGTTGCAAGCCAGGAAGATTAAGTACGACGTCATCGGACTGGCCGAGACGAGGAGGCATCGCCCGCTGCACGCCGTATGCGAGCCTGGAGAAGAACTGTTCCTCGGAACATGCGTTAGCAGAGGCGTTGGCGGTGTGGACGTCCTCGTCAACACGCTTGGCCATGAACATCGATTCGTACGAAAACCTGACGACCCGAATAGGAAGTTTCGTTTGAGAAGATGTGGTTCAACCCCGGCTTCGACAATCTTCGTCGCCTACGCACCAACGTCAAGCTACAACGAGGATGAGCTCGAAGCGTCTATATAAAATCGAAAAAGTTCTACAAAGAAGATCATACCTTCTTCAAAGTCATCGTCGGTGATTCCATCGCTAAGATCGGACCAAGAAAAACGGCTGAAGAAGTTACATTGGAACTCACGGGACGGAGTGGAATGAGCAGGGTTAAAGGCTTTCCGACTTTCACTCTCCATACTCCATAACGACTCCATAACGAGCTCGACCACATCTTCTTCAATCGAGGGTTTTGCCTGACCGATGTCCCTGTTGTTCCTAAGTTCTACACAGGATCCGACAGCCGTCCCCTTCGCGAGAGATTTCCAACAGGATCACACCCGAA